CTCAAACGATGCCAACTACTGGCCAGACGCCGTGTGCTGTCTCTTATACACTCCTAATTGTAGCATACGGGGAACCCCGTAGCAGCCAGAACCGTGTTCACGAGAGAACATGCGGGGGCTGCTCCCGACCTGCAGGTGGGCGATACCGGCTAGGGGACAGCCGGTAGCATCAGGGACCATGCCAACAGGACCAATCCCTGTGCCTCCCCTCAGGTCCCCTCCCCTATGAACATCAGCAGACTATGCTAAATGCCAATCGGGCTAGGTGGCGGCATGCCCAGGAAGGTACATGAGGCCAATGGGGATTGAACCCACGACCTCCTGAATGCCACTTGCGAGCCTTAGCAACTGAGTTAGGCCGCTGGATGTTTTTTCTTTTTTCTGTCGTCTCGCGCAAACAGACAACGCGGAAAAAAAAGACAAAAAAAATGACATTGCGACGGGATACGCGGTAGCGGTCGGTCGCAGACTCGCAGACCGACTGTCCGTGCTGGCAGCTCGGTTCTTCTTTTTTTTATTACCTTCTTTTTTTCCTTGCTGTCGTGCGTTGGCCTCTTCTTTCATCTCTTTCTTTTTTTTTCCTTGTTCGTTTTTCTTTATTTAATTATTTTACTCTGTTCATTTGATTGATTGGAAACTGGATTCGAACTGGGGGTCTGTAGTTCAACAGTTCGTGGGTGTATGGCTCGTTGGTTTTTTCCTATCCCTTTTTTTTTTTTTTTTTTGGGAGAATGTCGAGTTTGGAATTACTGGAAAAAACAGAGGCCGGGGACCTCACAATTCGACCCGGATGTTATCCCGGCAGCCTCAGGGCCTCGCCACACCACTCTTGAAAACTCTTTTTCAAGAGTTGCTGCATCGCCACACAGCCTCTTGACACTTGGGGCAGTCAAGAGCTGTCAGAGTGGCTCTTGAAACCGTTTCAAAAGCAGCTCTTGAAAGATGGGAAACCCCAGCCTGCACCTCGTGCGTTTCCAAGCGTCCTTGAGCGTCCTTGCCCGAACCCTTGAGGGACTTTCGATTTTCAAGAGTTGTAAGGCCATTATCCTGACTCCATTCGAAAAAAACAAAGCTGTATGACTGTCGTTTTTTATCCTCTGTCTAACACCATTGCCCTTTCGAGAGTGCTGTGTGGCGAGGGGCCGAAAACTCTTGAAGACCCAACTCTTGAGAACGTCTGACAGCTCTTGAAAAATTTTCCCGTTTCAAGAGTGGTGTGGCGAGGCCCTCAGCCGGTTTAGCTTTTGACAGGACCCAGGGGGGGACCCGAGAGGAAACTCTACTTAACTGATGTTATTGGAAAACAACTAAGAAGCCTATACTACTACCTGTATTCTGAAGCCAACTATGATTAAGTCGTTTGCCTACATCATTGGACTACCATTCATCTTGAACTTGGGTCATATGAGGCAAGAGTGTGGAAGTGCAGGGGAGGGAGGAGATGGGGTTCAAGGTGTTATTATAGAGGGGAGGGGAAGGAAGGGGTGGACGGTGAGAGAGAGGGGGAAGAGGAGAGAGGAAGGGAAGGGGGAAGGGAGACGAGGAGTGAGAAAATAAGGGATACAGACCTATACAGCGGTCTGACCCCGGTCTAACTTCGACCGGGAGGAGTGAGGGCTCCTTGATGAGGTGACCTGACACTCTCCTCCCTCCCGACCGCCTGCAGTCTACTTCGACTGCCCCCTGGAACCGAGTGCCCTGGTTCTGGTCATAAGCAGACCACCTTATTATCTAACAAAGGAAAACCTATTTACTTCTACTTCCGCACACGCTCCTACTATTGGAGCCACGGCGAGATAACCAACCGGCCATCCAAAGTGACCGCCGCCAACTCATTGTCCTTGGCCCAAGTCACTAAAAACCAATGTCTGCCCCTGGTAGCTGCGATCTTCACCGCCTTCCTGTTCCAATCTACCCGGATCATGGCTCTGATCCAGGCCTTGACCTTCCCTATGAGCTCTGTGTCCGCCGTCCATTGTTGTTTGAAAAGGACGTTATTGCGATCTTCCCAAATGGTCCAGACTTCTACCCGAGCTGCCCCCTGTCTCGATGGATCTATCAGACGAACAACTACCCACCTGCCCAGCTGGGAGCGCTGAACGGACCCGAAAGGTAACAACCCCAACAATCGTCCCAGCAGGGTATGGAATTGGGCCCTCCACCCGAACATCAGCCGTTGGGTCAAGGCAAGCAATGGTCTCAAAGAAAGTCAGTCCAGAAAAGACTCAAAGCAATAGCGGATTGGGTGCTGCACGACTATCTGAAAAACACAGACCTGCAAATTACTGAATCCCTGCCTCCACACTATTGGGACGTAATAGCAGACATGATCGCCACATGCCCTGGAAACGGTGGATGCTTTTAATGACTGTGCTGATATAGACTGGCCATACATTATTATCCTGGCCAAAGGTGTAGTCGACAAGGTCATCAAGAGTACCCTCCTCAAAATCCCGCAGGCTGAACGCTCGGCCGCTGCCCAGCCCTCCGGCCAGCAGATTTCAGATTTTACACACACGACCTACAAACTCGACTATAAAGAAAAAGGCCAGTCTCCTCCCCGGAAGCACCTCCTTGCAAAAATGCACTGCTTGCCTTCTTTACAAAGCGAGATACAGGAAAACAAAGAACCACACATCCAACCGATAAATCAGGCCGGGGTGCAGCCCATTGACCTTCTCTCGTCAGACGAAGAGAACAGTGACTGCGACAGCCAAGAGCAAAAAAGTCTGGCCAAATTCGACCCCCAGGGTAAAGAAGGGGGGGTGCCCTCTAAAATCTCTACAAGAGGGAAAATGAGAGACTGGGTGGATAGGCGGGAGCAGTGGATCTTATCAAATTTAAAGGAAAATGTTCTCTTATTTTTGATATCCCAGCATAAACCCGAGGGACAGCCAGCTATGGTCTTACAAAGGTGAAATCACAATACCAGAAACTGGCAGCAGGTGTTACCTTTATGGGTTGGAAGGGAAAGCCCGACCTCAAACTGGTTGCGGCACACCTGCACCGACTCTGGGACGTATTTGATGAGGAGATTCTCCCCTGCCTCTCATGCCCGCAAGGACTCCCCTTTCCGTCTCAAATCCACACAGTGCTGCTCTGCCTATACAAAGAACAGGCAGAAAAGCACAGACTCGTCCACACGACCACAGAGTGGTTCACCGAAGAGGAGCTCTGGCGACTCCCGGTCACAAGACTTCGGACCAGCCAGATATGGTTGGCCTACCATGTGAGACACATCTTGGGGCTCATCCTCTCCCAAAGCCATATCCCAACACTTCACTCTCACATACAGACACGAGAGTAAAAGGTGCTGCAGTGACTGGATACTCGATTCAAATTGAAAAAACTCACCATGGCGGCAAACCGAAATGGGATTGCAACACCCCCCCGTCTACCCTCACCTTGTCCGGAAATCGAACCACTGGTCCCCCCCTCCCCTTCACCTCCCCACCCACCCCTTTCATCACCAAGCCCACCACACCACAATCTCAACCCTGTCTCTTATACACATCTAGATGTGTATAAGAGACAGTTCCTGTAGTCAAAGACAACTGCCGGTGAACAGTGGGCAGAACGTGGGAAAGGGAGGGAAGGGGGGGAGAAGGGGGAAGGGGGGGAGAAGGGGGAAGGGAGGGGGGGGGGGAAGGAGCAATATACGGGTTGCGCGGAAGAATAACATGCATGCATTGGGCCCCGCTCCAATACTATCCACACGCACAAAAAACGAAAAATACGGCGGTGTATCTTTCCATGTTCTAGCGGAAGATTCATTCTCATTTTGCACATTTTGTGAGTAGCGGAGCGAGAGGCCCATTGCCACACAAAACTACCATCCAACACCACATACGTGTGTAGAGAACCAGAGAACAAACTGGAAAAAAGCCAATTTTTTGATGTGTTTTCTAAAAGGAACGCATTAAGAAAACAGACACAAACAAGAGGTCACTAGAAAAAATTCCCCTCCACTTCGATTAAGATGACGACAAAAAAATATCCGTCAAACATGTGATGGAATATTCGTGATAGCTGAATTAGGGCAACTCTCTGGCCAGATCTATCAAAACCAATCAATCAATCAACCAATCAATCAACCAATCAATCAACCAATCAACCAATCAATCAACCAGCCAATCAATCAACCAATCAATCAACCAATCAACCAATCAATCAACCAGCCAATCAATCAACCAGGGTTACGTTATGCTGCAGGCCACGAAAGAAAGTCGCGCGATCGAGGCAACCGATCAACAAAGCGTGACTGACGATTATAATTACTACAGCATTTGGGCCGACTTTCAGTCTAGATGCACCTGTTGACGTTAACAGGTGCAATTAAATTGTTCGAAAGCAATAAAGGGGCCAACTGCAGCATGACTGGCGATTATAATTACAATAGTAATATATTTTGGGAAAGAGGGGGGTGTAGTAATCAGAGCCATCAAGCAGCCATCAAGCAGCAGTTCGCACACCCGATTACCGTCTTCAAATGAATAAAACGTATGCATTTGGGGGGACTTTCAGTCTAGATACAGCGACAATGACCGTTAATAAGAAATGCATCTATCTGCCATAGATTGTGGCGGTAGCATGCATCCCAGTTTCTTCACAACTCGGAAGATATGACATCGCAGGAGCCTTCCTCTCATCTAGTCTTATGGGACTTGCAAAGGCAACTGGCTTCAAAGACGACTGCCATCTCTCTCTCTCTCTCTCTCTCTCTCTCTCTCTCTCTCTCTCTCTCTCTCTCTCTCTCTCTCTCTCTCACACTCTCTTACTATATATATATATTT